CCCCTGCTCACACATTCTCCCCCTCCTCACTAAAATAAATAAGTAAATCTTGGAAGGAAGGAAGGAAGGAAGGAAGGGAGGGAGGGAGAGAGGGAGGGAGGATGGATTCTTGGTGAAATCATAAATGTTCTCACCTCATTCTCAGTACTCTGCCCACAGTTCCAGGGTGACCAAGTGAGTGCCTGGACTGGCTGTCCCATGGTTCAGAGTAAGGATCACATGTGCTCAAGGGGTCAGCACTAAATCAGATTTCACTAGCCATCTTCCATCCATGGTTACCACTTTGGCCCTTTTTTTCTTCCCTATCCCTATATCTTTGCTATTCTCTTCTTTCCCTTATATTCATTCCACTAGCACTTTCTGCTAGGCTGCTATGTCCCAGACATCTGCTGGGCCAGGGGGAGCATGTAAATTATTGCCAGTCGTGCAAGTGTGTCTTGCCCGGTGCAGGGAGAGCACAGAGAAGGGATGAGGTGAGCAGTGCTCTAAGGGAGGTTTGTACCGTGGGCTCACGGGGTGACAGTCCTTTGGCAGGGCAAGGCTGGAGGCGGGGAGGCTAGATAGGAGAAGTGTTCACCAGGAAGAAGACATCTGGGCCTGTCTTTGAAAAACAGATGATGATTTTCCAAGTAGAAAAGGCCAGGGGAAGGCATGAACAGAGAGCACGTGGATGTGAGTGTTGAGCCCTGTGGGCTTTGCTTCTCTGCCCCCATCCTTAACTAGCTCCTCTCCTCTGGGCAGCTCCCACATGCAGCTTCTTTCAAAGCAAAAAGATTTGAAAGCTACAGACTGTTTTGGGAAATACTGCTGCCTGCTCATTGGGGGCTATGAAATATTACTATGAAATAAAGGCAGTAATTCTCCACCCTGGCTGTGTACCAGCATCTCTTGTGGTTTGTTTTTGGTTTTGTTTTAATTCAAGTTTCCTGGCCTCACCTTTTATGTATTCTGATTTAGTAAGTCTGGAGCAGGACCACAGTAATTGATATGATCTGCTTTTACAAATTTGGAAGTAGAAATGTTGTCACATCATCTTTGTTTTTCCAATTCCTCACTAACGAGTACATATATTTTATTGAAGGAAGCTCAGTATCATCTAGTACAGATTCTCATCTAGCTTCAGTTTTCTGAGAAGCTTAAAGGCTTAGAAGTTCTAAAAAGTGAAGGAACTGCTGTGGGTGGGATTAGCCCAGCCTTTTTCCCAGAGGAGAGAGACTGGATGAGTAGTCCATTACATATTTTCCCTGGGCCTCAATTTCCTCATCTGTGAAATGGGAATTAAAATAGTACCCACCTCATAAGGTAGTGGTGAGGACTAAAAGAGCACAGAGAACATAAGAGCACGTAGTATGGGCTCAGTAAATGATGGCTGTCATTATAGGGACAGCAAGGCCAGCCTAGTGGTTAGCGGTGTGGGCTCTGGCTCACAGCCTGGCAGCTACTCTCCCTATAACCTCCGTGGCTCAGTTTCCTTCTCTGTACGATAGGGTGGTTGTGACTCCCTCATAAAACTGTTATGAAATGTTACTAAATGAATAAGCACAAGACACTGAGATCATTGGTGGGCAAATAACATCAGAGAAATGTTAGCTGTTACCATTACTTCTGCTGTGACCTCTAACTGCCTTACGGTGTCACTGTTGGACTCTGGTCCTTCCCTTTCATCAGCTGGTGCTTACAGCTGCTCCTAGTGGCCTTTCAGGCCCAGCTGTGGCCCTTCCAGAAAGGACCATCACCTCCCCCTTTGCTAACCGTAGCCAAGGGTACCCTGACTTGGTCTCCTGATTTAGCAGTTCACCTACATAGCATCCTGCTAGGATACCAGCTGGCCCTGCAATGCTGAGTCAGACCCAGTTCTAGCTCCTCCAGCCAGGGCAGTGGAGCCAAATCTCCATTCTCCCACCTTCTTACCCACAGAGATCCACCCTACAGTCCGCAGCTTTTCTGTGACCATCTTGGAACATAAAGGCTCTAAGTACCTCCCTATTCCCAGTGAGGTTAGTCTTTTATTTATTTATTTTTTTAAAAGATTTTTTTTTATTTTTTTTATTTGACAGAGAGAGAGAGAGAGAGACAGCGAGAGAGGGAACACAAGCGGGGGAGGGGGGAGTGAGAGAGGGAGAAGCAGGCTTCCTAAGGAGCAGGGAGCCCGGTGTAGGGCTCGATTCCAGGACCCCGGGATCGTGACCTGAGCCGAAGGCAGACGCTTAACAACTGAGCCACCCAGGCACCCGAGGTTAGTCTTTTAAAAGAAATTACCAGGATAAGTCCTGGGGTCCCCACACCCTCTTTGTTCAGAAGGCTGCCTGTCCACTGTGGTGCCAAGTGATTGACCCTCATTAGGGCTATTCTCCAAGAGATTACTGGGTGCTAACACATACTCTTCTGGTGGAACCATTGCTGGGGATTTAAGGCACTTTTTTGCTTCTTAAAGAAGGAGGTGAAACCCACACATCTAATCTCTGCTTGGAATCCATACTATGTGTTAATTTTTTTAAACCCCATGCATGATTCTGATATCCAGCCAAGGTAGAGAATCACTGAAATAAAGAAGACTGAGTTGTAATGGTTATTAAGACTCACCTATACGAGTTGGGAGGCTGTGAGCTGACTCTGATTCCCCAGCCTGCAGCAGACTTGCCCAGGCGGTCTGCTTATCATGCAGATTCTCAAGTCTAGCTGATTCAGTAGGTCTGGAAGCGGAGAAGTGGGGAGGAATCCTAAATCCTAGTGAGATGCCAGGGGAAGGGACCCATGGGGAGGGTATGGACAAAGCTTGATGGCAAACGTCCTCCCCGTCAGGAAAGCATTCTCACCTGCTGCCGTCACCACCGGTTTCAGCCTTCCACCCACACAAAGTGGGTGGAAGGCTGCCCATATAGTCGGCATAAGCAGGGAGTTGTGCAAGGCAAGGGAGGTATCTTAGGTAGTAGTTGTCATCATAAGGTGGAAACATAGTGTGGCTCTCAAAATGAAATCTCAGGTCTCTTGTCAAATAATATATTCCGTGTGCAGCTATCAGGGCATATTTTCAGATGGGACAAAATGTATGTCCAAATAGGAATCCCAATATCAGAAGTCTCCCTGGGAGAGAGGTGAACCCATGGGAATTCAGCCTGGGGAGACAGCTGCTACCAGTGGTCAGCAGGGAAAGGCTGGGGCTCTGATCACCTCATGGCTCTTTTCTGTCACTGGACCGCCCTCCACCTGTGGGTATATCAGATGGATGACCACGAGAGCACAGGGAAAAACGTCCTCCCCGTCAGGAAAGCATTCTCACCTGCTGCCGTCACCACCGGTTTCATTTCCCAAATGTCCAGGGATGTCAGGCTGAACAAGCCTGAATGAGGTCAGTGGGAGCTCTCTCTGGAATTTTTGAGAAGTTGTATAAGGCAAATGCCTGATTACACCTTGAGTTCTTTCTGTGAAACCTTTAGCTCTGACAATTCACATCACATTTGCTCCCCTGGCTCATTGTGCATGGTTTTGTTTTTCTAGCAGTGCTCATTGTGAGAGGTGAAAGAATATTTCCATCTGGTCCCAGAACAGTCAGCAAGGAAAGACTATCCAGCCAGGAAGTAGGTAATTGTGGAATCAAACCAATCTCAAATGCTGCTGCCTCCAGAGCCCGCACCTTGGGAGTCGTTCCCACTTCTCTGTATCCTGGCAGTGACCCTAACATGTCTCCTGACCCCCAAAGAACTCAAGTCATGGGACAAGAGCCTCTGGGGTATCACCATTTCCAATACAATGTCAGAAGGCTACCAAAAGAAGTCCTTTGCTCGTGTGGTCATGCTTTCAAACCTCTGACCACTCCCCAACCTTCCTTGGCCTCCTATTGGGCTAATATTTGGGAGCTGAAACAGGAGCCTTCCTGAAGCAGTGGTGGGCAGTTACTGGAAGGTCATGTGATAGTCTGAGTTGAACCAGTTTGTCAAAGACCATTTTCCTTTTCACTCATCACCTTCCCCACATCCCACGAGAGAGAGTCCCCAGAGCACAATAATCCTTTCCTGAGATACAAGGTAGAGGCACTGAAGAAAAGGAATAAAAGTGAGGCTAATTTTGACTTTTCTGGGACCAAAGAAAGGCAGGCAGGTCAGGTCCAGCTCAAGGAGGCCAGGGTGGGCCTTGTATTGTAGTGCCAGGGGGTCTGCTCCAGTCATCAGGGGATTTGGAGAACAGTGCAGGAGGGGAGGGGGAAATGGGAACAGAGTCTTGGCCCTGGCTGCAGTGACCAAAGCCCGGTCCAGGCTCTGAAGAGTTCTCTAAAATGATAGTCTATGGCTTCAGACTTGATTTTTTTTTTTTTTTAAACTATAAACTCCATACCACTCCTCCCCAACTAAATTATTAGTGAATTAAGATTCAGGGATTTCTTACAGACCCAGCAGTGGTTCATGGTCATCAGGGCTCTGTGAAGCCCTTAAAGTGGTAGGCTGATGTTGGTATGCATCAACACTTTTTTCTGGGGCAAGGTCCTTGGGTCTCCTCAGATTCTCAGAGGTATCTGCCATTCAAAGCTGTGCACCTCTAGGAGGAGTGTCTGTGTCCCCCTCCTGTCACCGCCAGGCAGAGCTTCTGTCCTTAATGGCAGTGTGGTCAGATTTCAGTGTGCAATAGCGTGAGCTGGGCATCATGCTAGAATACAGATTCTGATTCAGTATGTCTGGGTGGGGCTCGAGAGTCTGCATTTCTAACAAGCTCAAGGTGACGAGGAGGCTGCCATTCCCGGCACCACGCTCTCAAGTGGCAAAGCTTGATGGCAAGCTGTGATTTTCATACCCCAAGCCTGAATCGTGGCCACAGCCTCTTAAGTGGTCTCTAAACCCCTCTCCCTATGGCCACTGGAGTGATCTCAGTGCACAGTTCTAATCTTGTTCTTCCCCTTCCTTCCCCTCCTGTGGCTCCCCTCCCCAGCCCCTGTGTTCAATAAAGTCATCTCAGAATGCATAAACAAAACATTACATGATTTGTCTTCATCCTGTCTTTTCTCCCAGTATGCCTATTGCTCCTGAGCAATGAATTCCGTTCATGCTGGACGACGTGAGAGCAAGGACTGAGGGGCGGGAGAGGGTGTGAGTTAGACCGGTGTCTGAATCCTGCCTATCGCCCCTGAGCAATGAATTCCGTTCATGCTGGACGACATGAGAGCAAGGACTGAGGGGCGGGAGAGGGTGTGAGTCAGACCGGTGTCTGAATCCTGTTCCTGCTGCTTCCTACTTTGTGACCATCTGAAGTCCAGTTTTTTTTCATATGCAGAATGGGAATAAAAATACCTACTTCATGGAGTTAACCAGGAGAAGCAAATGATACACTGTATATAAAGCATTTAGCACAGTGCCCACACATAGCCACTCCTCAATAAGCAGTAGCTATTGTGACTTGATCATAATATGCTCTAGAGTTTCCATTTGTCACATGATTTCCTGATTGGCTTGTTCTCCTAGTTCCCCTTCTCTGCCTCATCACATGTCACCCCCTCCTCAAATCCTTCCTGACCCCCTCTCGCCTCAATCACCAAGCAGTTTTTCACCTCAGTTGTAACACTGGGGGTGATTTCTTTCTATACTCTGCCTACAGCAATGCCCAACATGGTTTGGGACACATATTGATAAGTGTCACTGGAAAAGTTATATGGAACGGAGTTATGTTCTTCTTTTTGTTGTGTATGTATTATATATACCTGTAATACCTACTTAGCTACAATGAATATATATGTATTGTATAGTTGGAGACATTTGTTTGGTAGTTTCTTTTTTTCCTCCAACTAATTTAATTTCTGCCACCCAGGAGAGGACAAGGTCTATGCTGAGGACTCCGTCGGTAAGCCCCATTGTGTGCCCTTAGGGAGCCCATAAATACCAGGAATGTTTTGCTGGGCAAAACCTAGGCAAGGATACCTTGGAGCTATTTCTCACCTCCAAAGTGGTTTGGACAGAATATTCTACTTCTCTGAAAAATCAATCCTTTTATTTGTACTCCTTTGCAAGCCTCAATTCCCTAATAATAAAGCCCTCCCCACCCCAAGCAATCTCTACAGCTTACAAAGATCCTTCATGTACATTAAGGAGACTGATCTTTGTCACAACCCTGAGAGGCAGACAGAGCGGGGTTCTGGATCCCTATTTTTAAGTTGAGGTGCCAAAAGCTCAGAGGAATTAAGGGATAGACCCAAGATCTTGTAGCAAGTCAATCAAACACTCACAACCAGAATCCAGACCTGCTGACTATAGGTCCAGCAATTCTTTCTGTTGTGACTGAATTCTTGGGTCTCTGAGCCAGGAAAAGATGAAGCAGGATAGCAAAACCACCCCTCTGCTACTTGCTTTCAGTGCAGTTCCTACAGTGGGGGAGGGGACCAGTGAGGGAGACAGCTGCAGGAGATGTGGGGCTGGAGGGAGGGTGGCCCTTTCATATCAGCAGGAAAGGAAGCTTGAACATAGAAGACGAACCTTAGTCTGATTCCTGGCCTTTCGCCTTGGCTCTGAACTCACAGACTGCGATGGGCCTCATGGAACTTCCTGGGCTGCTGGAAAGGGAAATGGCCTCAACCACGTGGGCCTAGGCAGGGAGGCAACCAACAGGCATCCCTCTCAGACGATAAGTGAGCTGACGCGGCAGCAGATTTTCATGTTATATGTGACTTTCTGTGGCTACTTCCCATCAGTTGTCCGTTTTAGCAAAGCTAAAGTTTAAATTAGGGGTCTTGTAGTTGATAGCAGCTTGATAGTAGGGCCTGTGATTACTGAGATTGCCAAGGGGTAGGTGACTCTCAGAAAGTCAGTGTGTGGTCCACCTGCCCTCCCCCTGTGGAAGTGTCTCTCCCTTGCTATTTTGGGATCTGGGATGATTTTTATTGAGGAAATCCAAGAGTTTCCATAGATGGGAGACATAGAGATTCCATAAGTCACTTCTAGGTACCTTTCAGGGATTGGGGTTCACGAACTTTGAGGTCCAATTCCATCTGTGCTGCTGACTACCAGAGTGTTTAGGCCAGTGCCTGGACCTGAGCCTCTCTGCTGAGAGCTGTAAATGATGATGGATTAAATGATTTCAGCTTTGAATGCACATTTGAATCCACCTGGGGAACTTTCTAAACTGTACCTAAGCAGGGGCCCGCCCTCAGATCCTTATTCAATGGTCTGGGTGAGGCAGGGGACTGCTAACTTTTTATAGGGTCCCCCAGGTGATCAGTTGTATAGTAAGAAGAAATGGGATGGGTTAATCTCTGACCTCTCCTGAAGATCTGGGGGAGAACTCAGGTGTCCATCTGGTGGCAGGCCCCCTGGGGAGCAGTGTGTTCCAGGCACATAGTAAGGTAGAGCAAGCAGGTGTCCAGGCATTCGGCTCCCAAGTCTGTGGCCCGGTCTTAATGCCACACAGTGCTGAAGGAAGCCAGGGGAATTACTGGAGAGCAAAATAACATTTTTGCCCAGTTTCCCCTACAGCTCTGAAGGAAGCCAGGGGAATTACTGGAGGGCAAAATAACACTTTTGCCCAGTTTCCCTTGTAAGCCTTTCACCTACCTAATGGTGTTCTGGAGTTCGGTGAATATTTACTCATTACTTCTGCACTTAGTAACTACACATCCAGGCTCCAGAGAAGCGGATTATTCTTATCCACAGAGGAAGAAACTACCGGTGGAAAGATTGAGACTTTCCTTGGTCACACAGCATGATAATAACACCAGCTGTGTAATGGAAACAGAAGTCCTTGGTTTCCTGGAGGAAAATCCCTTCCTTTCCACCTTGCCTTAGCTGTTCAGAAGCAGCGGGTCTCAGCTGTAGGGAGCTCCATCGAGAACGGAGGCACTCCTGTCTGAGGTGTTCCTGCCCTGCAAGAAGAGGGAGTGCGTTCTAAGCAACACTTCTCTAGCGGGGCAGCTGTGCTCTTGGCACCCCAGTATCTCTCCCAGGTTTACCGAGCCCTTTCGCATCCTCTCCACTGGTTTTCCCTGCCCTTCTGTTCAGGACGAGCCGTCTACGCTGTCCCGAGCCACGTCGTTCCATCTGGAAAGGCAAAATGGCAGGAAAGCTCCCAGCAGGGGGTGGAGGAGGTGGTGAGAAGGAAACACGTTGGGCTTTCAGTTGCCCTGGGCGTCAGCAGAATAGCTGCAGAGGTGCCCCAGCAGGCAACATAGTGCGCCAGAGTGGAAACTCCTGCTGGCTCCTGCAGCGGGTTCGAACCCGTCCCTGCGCCTCCATATTTATGGCGGTTTACAAAGAGTGAAAAGACTATTTTCATGCAAATCTACTATGTCAGTGTAGGTTTCTTTTTAGCTTTGCTCAGTGGAGAATCATTTTTGAAGCTCTGCTGTTTCACTCCCCCTTCCCACTCAGCTCGAAATTCATTAGCAGCCACAGAAAATGTGCCTCCAGAAACTGTGCGTCCCAGAGATGTGTGTCACGCAACGAGTTTGTCCAGGCCAGCAAAGCAGCAAAGCTTTGTGTGGCTTTGCTTTGAAGATTCCAGCTGATGCTTCCCTTTTGGGAAATTATAAACTGTCCACCTATGGACGGTTATTGAATTGGGCTGATGAAAAATCCGATAGACCAAGAACAGCATCTATAGACCCCATGGCTGGACTAGCCAAGACATCAGTGAACCACCTCAGTTAGGCTTGGGCCTCTGACAGTTGCCTGCCCTTTAGCATTCTGTCAGTACTGCTCTGATCTGCCTTTAACTGACCTCTGTCAGTACTGCTCTGATCTGCCTTTAACTGACCTCTGTCTCAGTTTTAAAAGGCTTAGGTCCAAGTTACCTTTAAGAATATTGGAACTGGGACAGTTATAATGCCAGAATTCAGACTCATCATAGAGAGTCAGAGCTGGTTAGGATCTTTGAAATAATCTACATGGTCTCATTCACTCTAAAATTTCAAGTCTATGTAGAGATGACTCTCATTATTTTCTCATGACTAGACGTATTTTCTAAGAACTAGTCCTAACTTCCCTCCAGGAACCTATACATCTGCCTCTGGGTGTATCCCATGCCTTTCAAACTCAGGCTGGGTAAATCAGATGCGCTGTCTTCTTCTCCAAACCTATTCATCCTCTTCACTTACTTATCTCAAGCACACTATCCTCTGGCTGAGTCTTCTTGTCTCTTTCCCCTGTCCTCCAGATCTGTATTTTATCAGTTGCTAAGACTTATTCATTCTTTCTTCTAATGTCTCTCTCATTCTTTCCCTCTGTTTTAGTCAGGGTTCTCCAGAGAAACAGAACTGATAATGTGTGTGTGTGTACTTTTTATATATGTATACATATATGCTGCATGTGTGTACATATACACTGTGTGTGTACTTTTTATATATGTATACATATATGCTGCATGTGTGTACATATACACTGTGTGTGTACTTTTTATATATGTATACATATATGCTGCATGTGTGTACATATACACTGTGTGTGTGTGTGTGTGTTTATGCTTTTTTTTTTTTTTTTAAAGATTTTTTATTTATTTATCTGAGAGAGAGAATGGGAGACAGAGAGCATGAGAGGGGGAGGATCAGAGGGAGAAGCAGACTCCCTGCCGAGCAGGGAGCCCGATGCGGGACTCGATCCCGGGACTCCAGGATCATGACCTGAGCCGAAGGCAGTCGCTTAACCAACTGAGCCACCCAGGCGCCCCGTGTTTATGCTTTATTGTAAGGATTTGGTTCACACTATTACTGAGACTGGCAAGATTCCAAGATCTGCAAGCTGGAGACCCAGGAGAATTTATGGTTTAGTTGCAGTCAGGACCAGGAGAGCTGATGGTGTAGTTTCCATTCAAAGGCTGGCAGGCTCGGGGCGCCTGGCTGGCTCAGTTGGTAGAGCATGTGACTCTTGAACTCAGGGTTATGAGTTTGAACCCCATGTTGGGTGCAGAGATTACTTAAAAGTAAGTAAATAAACTAAAAAAACAAAGGCTGGCAGGCTTAATACTCAGGAAGAGCCAATGTTTCAGTTTGAGTCTAAAGACAGGAAAAGACTAATGTCTTAGCTCCAGGCAGTCAGGGTCCGGAGCAGTTCCCTCTTACTCTTGGGAGGGTCAGCCTTTTTGTTCTATTCAGTCCT